CTGTTGTGGGTACAAAGGTGCAAAGTGGTAGACTACATAGTCAGTACCCCGGTCATGGTGCTTGGTACTGCAGATGCCAGGCTAGGGTCAGGGTGACTTGATGAGGCCCATAGTGGGGATGGTGACAAGCATCATGGCAGGGGTAGCTCTAGGTTGTATGACTCTGAAGGCCTTAGAACAAGATATGTATTTTCCACAGACTTCATTTGAGCCACAGTCAGCCTGTGGCACAGGTTCCTAGGAACCCTACCCCACTTAGTGGCTGAGACTGTTCATGAGCAAGATCCCTGCTATAATTTCCATGTGGAATACCTCTAAAAAAACTTGTCCCCAAAGCCAGAGAGGGACTGGGGGGACTCTAGGGTCCCATTTCCAATGAAGATCTGAGCTCAGGAGTGGCCACAGTGTGGTAGCAGAGGTAGGTAGCTGCCTCCAGCTGTCTCTGTGGGAGAAACAGATCTGCTTGGGACAACTTGACTTGGGTCCCAAACATTGTAGTGCAAGACCATCTGTCATCCTAGCCCTTTAAGATCTAGAAGACCTGAGTCTGGGGTGGCAAAGACTGGGAGGCTTGGGGCAATAGGCACTTCAGGGGAGAGGAGGCAGAAGGAGGGAACTGGGCTGGTCACAGCCTCGTGAAGCTCTGTTCCCCTGAGGTGCTGGCATAAGAGCATGCACTGAGGGTGGACATGATGGGAGATGCCATTCTGTATATATGTTTCTCATACTGGTTAATGAATAAAGCACTGTTGGCCAATAGGAAAGCAAGACAGGCGGGACTAGGAGACAAGGAGGAAAGAGGAAGTAGGAAGGAGGAGTCAGCATGGAGAGGCCAGGGAGACCAGATGCCTGCCCCACCAGATGCCTGCCCCACTCCCCAGTAGGTGAAACCACGTGGAAATACATAGAAATGGGTTAATACTTAAGACAGAGCTAGCCGATAAGAAACTAGTACCTGGCCAACAGAATTGTATCTAATACAGAATCTCAGTCTCTGCTTTTCTGTGACATTCAGTGTTTGTAAATATGCCTTTACCTGTTATTTTATGGGCTGTCTGCAAGCACTTTGTAAGTGATACCAGGTCATAGCATTTGTTTTTTAATCTGCCATTGCATTCTTTGCTTACCTTTTGCTGGGGAGCTTCCCCCACAGGAGTTGAAACTGGAGCTTGCTGTATCAGTGTTGTCTGGTGCTGCTTGTTGGATCCCATTGATGGATGTTCAGCTGCTTCCCAGTTTCTGGCTGTTACAAACAAGGCTGTCATGGATATTTATGTGTGTATCTTTGCGAACGTGAGCCAGATTGGTGAGGCGTGTTTTAACAAGGAATTGCTGTGAGATTGAGGATATGAATCTTAAATTTCACTAGAAGTAGCCAAACTGCTTTCCAGAGTGGGTGGGTGTAGTAAGGAAGATTGCTACCAGTGTGTATGAGTCTCCTCTTTGCCCTTTCCTTGACAATACTCAGCATTTCAGAAGTTTTTAGTATCTGTTAGTGTGGATATATTTTCTACACATGGTGGTTTAAATGCGAATGGCCTGCATAGGTTCATATATTTCAATGCATGGTCCTCAGTTACTGGAACCATTTGGGAAGGATTAGGAGGTGTGGCCTTGTTGGAGAAGATATGTCAATAGGGGTGGGCTTTGAGGTTTCAAAATCAGTCTCACATACACTTTGCCTCCTGTTTGTGGACCAAGACGTAAGCTCTCACCTACTGCTCCAGCACCATGCCTGCCTGCTGTGCTCCCTGCCATGATAGTCATGGACTCACCCTCAGATACTGTAAGCCCCAAATAAACTCTTTCTCCTATAAATTGCTTTGGATGTGATATCTACACAGCAATAGAAAAGTAACCAAGACACCACATGAGGCCCTGATTTCTATTCCCTGCCTGCCATTGAGATGGGACACCTTCCATATATTTATGCTTACATGTTTATAATTAATTGTAACTACTTATTCTTTATAGATGACTGGGCCTACTCTTAGCCCCATTTAATCTTTTCTTGTGGTCAGTCTGATCCATTGTTTGAGTTATCTATTGCAGATGTATTTTCCCTTTATTCCTCTCAGTGTGGCAGGGCTAAGAGTATGGACTTCAGGGCTATCCTGCCAGGATTAAATCCTAGGTTTGGTACTTCCTCTGTGACCTGGACTAAGCTAATTAATCTACACATGCCCAGTTTCCTCATCTGTGAGTGGCCTGAGAAGGGTAAGAGGTTTGTGTCTATGTAGCATCATTTTTGCTGCTGCTATAACAGAGAACCACAGGTTGAATTTCCATGGCTTACAGTTCTGTGGTCTGGGAAAGGCAATATGAAGGTACTCACATCTAGTTAGAGTTGTGTCATCCATGGCAGAAGATGAAAGGGAAAGGCAGAGAAGGAGAAAGACAGGCAGGAGAAGAAGAAGAGGGCTAAGCTCATCTTCCATCAGAAACCACTCCTGTGACAAGTAAACCATTGCACTGCAATCCACATCAATGCATCCATAAGAATGGAGGCCTCGTAACCTAAAACCCTTTGAAAAGTTCTGCTGCTCAACACTTACCTTTGGGTTAGATCTCCAAAGAGTAAACTGTGGGGGACACAGTGGAACCCTAGCAGATGGTGGCACACTTCATCTGGCCGTACCCTACCAAGGTCATCTGGGAGCCTGTCCACAGTCATTGCCATCCTGACCACAGCCCAAATGAGTTCTGTTCCCTCCTTTGATTGACCAGCAGGCGCTGCTGTACTTGGCCCTCAGCCTTCTGCACAGCCCTGCCTCCCGTCAGTCCCTAGGCTGCCTGAATAAAAACTGAAATCCCAGTCTCCCTCCAAGGGATGCCTGGGAATTGGAAGGCAGCAGGCTCCTCACAGCAAAAATAGAAGCTTCATTTGCTTTGGAGAAAATGACAGTGAGAAGGGCAGCCAGCAGAGGTGGCTGGGGAGCCTGGGGAGCCCTCCTTGTTCCTGGGCGCCTTGAGGTTGGATGCAGCTGTGCTGAACTTCCAGAAAGCTGTCCCTTCCCTTTCATCCTGGCCTGCCACTGGCATCACCATTGGTCTGTGACATCCACAGTCTTGGCATCCAAGGTCCAGTTTTTAAATTAAAAACCTCAGTATTATACTGTCCTCTGGTGAGACTCCAGGAAACAGGATGAGTTTAACGTGGAGAATCATTGATCATTGGAAAAATATGTCAGAGATTATGGGGTAGTCTGCCTTGCCAAGAAGGGAAGGGAACTGTGCTTTGTCCCCATGATGGCACAGGTGGCACATGGATAGACTTACTGAAGATCAAAGTACAGGTGATCACTAGTTCCAGTAGACCTCTTAATTCATAGCTGGTATTTACAGCCATGCCTTGCTCAGGATATTCTGAGAAGTGTAGTCATTGTGCAGATACTATCTACCCCAAGGTACTGTGACATCATTGGGTATATGATCTCTGGCCACTGTCATTTATGTGGCATATTACGTCACACAGATGCCTGTTGCCATTAATGTGCTGCCATATGGACTGGATGTCATTGTTCACTGTGCACTTGAGAGTGCCTTGGAATATTCTCTGCACAACCAATCACTGGGCAAGCCGTAGAGTTAAGTTCTGGGTTCTGCCTTGTTGGCACATTCCTGAGCCTGGAAGGCTGGTGGTTTGAGGATGTTTCTGAGTATCAAACTGATTGAAACAGTCCATGTCTGTACCCTCAACTCTTCCTGCAGGGTGGTTGCCAGGGATTCTTCTAGAGCCAACAGTCACCCTTGAAAGAATTAGTGTGAACCAGTGAAGACATCTCTACCCATGTCTGGAGCAGGAAGTGAGTGGCTGGTAGCTCAGTGTCTCCTGTTGACGTGACCCATCACCTCCAGACTAAATGATATCCTTCCGAGTCTGGGGTCTTGTAACCATTTTCACGATGACAGTTTGCACATTATTTTTTAAGTCTTTTCAATAGCAACAGCCAGAAGCACCTGCTATAACAACCAGTTGTTTTTTAAACTTTGTGATCATCAAAGACTCAAGTTAAATCCAGCTTGTTCCCAAAACATTTGCACAAATAAGAGTCTTGAGATTTGAGCTTTTTATTCTGAAGATGCAGCTTGCACAGGAGGAAAATAACACACTCTCGTCTTTATAAATAGAGTTATTAGCATTGAAGACTTCACTTGGCAGCCAGCTTAGGGACTTGGCTGTTAAGAATTTGAACATCTTACTTATTAACAGTACCTGGGCTTCAGCTGGTAACATCTCTCCTTCCCACTGGATCTGAGGACCTGGGGACCCTCTCTGAGCTCAGCCTCTCTTTGCTCTCAGAAACACTGCTATGATCAGCCTCTGGGCCCCTTTCTTCCTTTGCCCTGGACGATACTTGCTCTGTCCACCTGAGCCCTGTCTTTGTGTATCACATCAGCGACAGACCCGCATCCTTAGTCCTGCCACACATGCCCATAGTCTGGGGAACACCCATTTTCCTCCCCTGAGAAGTTACATCCTGAGTGGTATGTGTGTCCAGCCCCATCTTGTTACATTCTGTTCAGGGTAGTTTGGATGAGTTCTTGGGTCCTAGGAAGACTGTTCTTAGCCTACCTGTCTAGAGCCTGCTTCTCTCAGTGAAGGATCCCCAGGACAAGCAAGTTACCCAAGCAACTCATGTCATGGTGTGGGGGAGTGCCAGGGTGTGGGGGTGCCAGGGTATGGCTGTGGGTGTGGAGGTGTCAGGGGATGGCTGTGGAGATGCAGGTGGAAACCTCTGTCTTTGGTGCTTCTAGACCTAGACCAGGACTTCTGGCACGGACTCTGAGCCATCCCAGGGCCTCTGCCAGTGTGTAGCCAGAGTCCAGTTCACAGATGTCTGCACCGTTATTGTCCCTTTTCACATTGTGCTCATTCTCCATCCCAAGCACAGAGTTCCAGAAATCCCTGACCTGTGTGTCTGGCACTAGTCCATTACACTGGAGTTTACAGTTAGCACAAGGAAGTTAATACATAGCTCTGTGTCAGCAGAATGTCAGACGCAGCCCAGGCAGTCCTCTGCCTCTCTAATGGTGACTCCAGTGTTCCTGAGTAGGATCAGAGGTCTCAGCTCCACCTGGTGAGTTGGATGTGTTCACATCTTCCTGGTTCCTCACTCCTTCCAGGTTGGGGACTTTATGAAGTTATAATGGTTTGCCTTGAATTTCAAGGATGCTTCTGATGAGATTGTGTCACCCTGTGCATGCCTGGGCTCTTTTGCTGGGGACCTCAGCTTTGGATGGATGGTTCAGTGAGCTGCCTGCCTGGAGTGAGGTGGGGTTCTGTGGATCTCTCTCTCTCTCTCTCTCTCTCTCTCTCTCTCTCTCTCTCTCTCTGTGTGTGTGTGTGTGTGTGTGTGTGTGTGTACATATTCAACCTGGGACCTCCCAAAAGCTATCAAAGGTAATCAGCAAATTCTGAATCTCATCCCCTCTACAGAATTGTTACATCTGGAATGCCTGGAAACACAGCATTTCAAAGGCTGTGTTTGACCACAGACTAATATATTCTCAGAAACTTGCATGTTGAAAACTTCAGGACCTATGGTGGCAGTTGACGTGGCTTCCTGTGAGGAAGTCCATGAGTCCTGGAAACTGATGCCAGAAATGACAAAAGTTACTTCCTGTAAGAAACCAGGCCTGGGTGGTGGTGGTAGTGGTGGCATATGACATCAGGTAGCTGAAAGCTATTTATTGGATGTGTTCTCTGTGTCCAATTACTGCCATAGACAGAACAATAGCCCAGAGTGCCGTTGCTTCTATGGTGGTTCCTAAGGCAGGGAGCTCTGGGAGACCATGTACCCTGGAGGATCCTCCTGCATGCATGGGGAAAGAGGAATCCTTTGGCTTGAATCTGTATGTCTTTCTGGGGAAGTCAAACTGCAAGGTCAGCCATCTCCCACCTCCATCCAAAATCTAGATCTTCTGGAGTGCACAGTGTCTTGGTCCTGTGGGGAGACCTACAGGGTTAGTTCCTAGCCTGGAGGTTGCAGAAGACTAGAACATTATTCTGAAGTTGGCTGTGTGGTGGAAGGTTGAGAAGCAAACACTGTCCAATCACAAATGGCTAAGGAGGCCCACCATGCCAGACTCCTGCAGAGCAGGAAAGGGGAAGAAAATGTGTTTGGGAATGGTAGGAGTGGCTGGACACACCAGAGGTGAAGAGAAGCCCAGGCAACAGTAGCAGGCGCACAGCTTTCTTGTGTCCTTTGAAGCCACTGGCAAGAGCTGGAATTTCCTGGTGACCCAATTAACTAGAGGGATAGCTACTGACCCTTTTGACCTTCAAAGGCCTTCCCCTGGTGTCCTGAAGGTCCTGGAGAGGGCAGGAGAAACTGGTGGTTGTGCTGGGTTCCTGTGGTAGGTGACCTTGCATTTGAGTTAAAAGGGTGCTGGGAAACAGAGGAGATAAACATAAAAAGAATGCAAATGAATTGCTTCAGAGTGGACAGGAGCCCTGACTCCACATCCACCAGGGAAAGCTGCATGGAGCCTATAAATAGACACTTAAAGCCCGGTTCTAAATTGAGTTCAGATGTGGGCCTATTTCCTCACATGGAAAAGTATTTGTGTGAGGTATAACACACACCACTGTTTCCAAGCTGGAGGATTTTGTGCTTCCTTAGGGACGCTATGTGGAGCAGGTGGGGAATATGCTGCTTCCAGGTGAATGAGAGGCTGTCCTTGTCCTGGACCTCACTGGAGAGGGAACGCTAGAGAGAGAAGCTCTCTAGGGAAGGAGGAGGCAGCACTTCTCCTAGGGCAGTGGAGTGAGTCCCTACACAGGCGCTGGGCTTCTCTTAGATGCCTCTGCTCAGGGGCAGGAGAAACTACACCCAAAGCACACAGGCCCTCCACAGGCCCTCCACGGGCCCACAGTGAACTGGGACGATGCCAGGTGGTCCACAATGGGAGGCGAGACACATGCTTTTAGGGAGGCATGAAACCTGTATTGTGTGTGGGCTGAGGAGTCTAGCTAGCTTCCTATGTGTGTGAGGGTGTTGGGTCCCCTAGAAGTGGAATTACAGGCAGTTGTGAGCCACCATGTGGGTATTGGGAATTGAACTCAGGTCTTTGGAAGAGGTGTCAGTGCTCTTAACTACGAAGCCATCTCTCCAGTCTGGAGTCTAGTTAGTTTCCTAGTCAGGCTTCCTAAGGAAGATGGAGGCTCTCTCTGTCTGTCTGTCTGTCTGTCTGTCTGTCTGTCTGTCTGTCTGTCTCTCTCTCTCTCTCACACACACACACACACACACACACACACACCATTTGATGGGAACTTTGGGGGAAAAGAAGCTTTATTTTGCCTCTTGGTCTTGGATGTCTGGAGTCTAGAGCAGCATATTGGGATGGCCATCCTGGCAGCAGCTCCTTGTGTGCACACATAGCCTCAAATGGTGAGCAAGAGAGCAAGGATTCCTGTGTGTTCAGATTTCTCTCCCTCTTCTGATAACTCCAACAGGGTGAGTTGTGGGAGCTCAGGATGGTGGATCCTATCCTGATGATCACCCCAAACCCCCACCCACCTCCAAACACCATGGTCAGAATGATTTTCCATCTCTAACTGTCTCACAGCAGACACTAGACTCCAACACTTGTCTTGTAAAGGACAAGCTGTAGTTGGACCTCAGCACTGGCTGACTAGTTTGGGACCACAGAGCTGCATCCTAACAAGTGATGAGCAGGGGTGCCATTTCCTGGTGTGCAAGAGAAGTGTTTTATTCAGGGAGCTGTACCATGTATTCTATGTGCTAACTCCATAACCAGTTGATTTTGAAGGTTCCTAGATGGCAAGCCTGTGCTGTGCAACAGGGACTCTGTGATGGGAGTGTGGCTCCAGGGTTATTCTGGGGATCTGTTGGGTTTCATCTTCCCAACTGCCTTACAAGCATATTCCTTTTTTCTTTTACCTTATTTTCCTAATGTGTTTATTAATATTTCTGTAGTCTATTTGCTCTCTCTCTTGCTACATCCCCACTGGTGTGTGTGTGTGTGTGTGTGTGTGTGTGTGTGTGTGTAGGTCAGAGGTGAACCTTGACTGTTATTAAAGGTGCCATCCACCATGCTTTTTGAGAAAGGGGCTTTCATTGGCCTGGGGCTGGCTAGTGAGTTCCAGGGATTTGCTTAGTTCCACCTCCCAGTGCTGGGAGTACAAGCAAGAACCACAGATGTTTATTTTACTTTGTTTTATTTGATGTGGGCTCTGGGGGTGGGACTTGGATCCTCGTGCTTGTACTGTCATTAAGCACTTTACCAACTGATCCCTGGGCTCAATGGCTGTTGTCTCCACATTCATGCCAAAGCTGTGTGGATTTTGTTGTTGGCCACATAGGAAGTGAGCAGCCCATACTGACTGTGCTTTGGGAAGTAGTATGTGGTTGAAATGCCTCATCTGTGGTGCTCACTTGGGTGTGATAAGGAAGGAGGCCTCTTCATTGGGGCAGAATCTGTAAGGCACTCTAATGCTGCTGTGCACCAGATCTTCTGCAGTCATGTGAATATCAGGCCCCTGCCACCCTGGGGAGGGCACAGAGTTTAAGAGTCTGCAGATCCCTTAAGAGTCTTCTTGAGGATTCTAGTCATTTCTCTTTGGTCATAAGGCGTTTGCGTGGGACATGTTGGGGCAGATGAAATTCCCCAATGCTAGGAGGACCTCCTCCTAAGAATGTTAGTTGAGAGAGTTGAGAGTTACCATCTGGCCTTGTTGGAAATGTGATAAGGCAAGTCCAGATCAGGCCTTGGTCACAGAGTAGCTATCATCTCCCTGGGCCAGGAACAAGAAACATTTGTTCCTCCCTAGTGAATGAAGTCACCCCTGCGACCTCAGGCCCCACAGCAGGTAGAAGGTACAGTGTCCACACACTGAAGGTATCTATGGAGCCTCTGCCCTGGGCTTTCTACCTTGGAAGGCCTCAGGAGGAGGCTGAGGAGCTGAGGAAATGGCTCAGCAAGTAACCCTTTTGCCCCGTAAGCATGGTTTTGGACCCTTGGGCACCATGTAAACATCTGAGTGCAACAGTCTGTGTCTGCTACCTCATCTCTGGGAGGGCAGAGATGGAAAGATATCTGAGGTCATTGGTTAGTTAATCTAGTTAGTTAGGGAGCTCAGGGTTCAGAAAGACTGTCTTAAAAAATAAGGAGAGGAGTGAATGAGGAAGATGCTAGGTGTTGGCTTTTGACCTTCACATGCATACACACATGCCTACACACACACACACACACACACACACACACACACACACACACACACACACACACCATGCCACATATACACAAAATGAAAAGAAATAGAAAGTCCTTTATCATTTCATCCTGCTTTAGCTGTAGCATACAAAGAAGGGGATTAGATACAGTCCTTCTGAGGACACATAAACCATTCTTTCTTTCTTTATACAACCCAGGGTCTGGTCTTGAACCCCTTGAGTCTATTGGCTTTCCTCCTTAATTTTCATTTAGAAATCAGTTTTTATGTTTAAAGGAGATGGAGGGCCCAGTCCTCTTCGGGTTACCTAATCGTGGCCAGGAAGGAGGGCTGAGACCCTTGACAGAGAAAGTAAACAATGTCCTTTCTCTTCCTTTAGTAACTCCAACCCTTGCATGGACCCCAGCCTTATCCAAAAGTGTCACAGAACAAGGGTTCTACAATCATTGGGGTCAAGCTTTGTTGTGGGAAAAATGAGTATTCATGAGGTCTTTGAAGAGCTTCATTAATATGCAGGTAGTCTCTCCTAGAATGGTACATAAGCAGTCATTATTTTGCCAATATGTATGCAATGAAATGACTTAAGAAACATTTTAATTATTTGTTTAGGGTACTTTTTACCATCCTTTCATTCAGATTCGAAACCTCTCATCTAAATTGGTGTGCGTGGAAGAGCCCTATACAAGCATCATTGCATTTCTGGAATGAAGTCATTTTTCCTGTTCCTTCTGCTTTATTCCAGGAAGACTGGATCTCCAGGAGAGTTTTCAGGACATTATCAAGGCACTCATTTTTGGTAAGCAATCGGAGGCGGTCTTGCATGGAGGCTGGTGGTCTTGCATGGAGTAAAATTCTCTTGCTTGGAATTACTTCTTGCTTCTGTCATGTGGAAACTGGGATTGCCTCACCAGAGGGATGCTACACCATGGCAGATGGATGAGTGCCGTGTTCATTTCCAGGGGGAATGCATGGGTATATTTCAGTGTTCCTGAGCACTTATCTTTGAAGCTGGTGTTTGAAATGACTGCCAAACTGTAGACAGACCCTGAGCTCACCACTCATCATTTACTTTACCTGGAACTGGTCCTCATCCCATGACAATAGCAGTATGCACAAACCCTATTGTCCCTTCTTTCTCTGACTGGTGTCCCTATGAACTCTTATATTCCCAGGGAGTCCCATGTACTAAAGGTTGAGATTAGCAGCAGACCTGTCAGTATCCAACAGACACCTGCTGCGGGTTCAGGGTCTTCAGTCTGAAAATTGGATGTCCCAAGTGTGGTTGAATCAAGTCAGCTTTTTTAACAAGAATGAGCAAAGGCCCAGGGTCAATCTCTAACACTGCAAACAAATAAACAATAAAAACACCCCCCCCAAACAAAACAAAAGTAGAACAGCGATAACATGCAAAGCAAAAAGTCTATGGAACATTTCCATGCCTAAACACACTGACATCATAAGCACTTCTAGTCCCGAGCATTTTGGATTAGGGTTACTCGACCTGTAGTCTGCTTTGAGAAGTCAGCCATTATGAAATTCCAGGAAGCCAAGCACAAGACATCTAATTTAGATCAGAAAGAGGCCTCTTCTGCCAGGTGGTTCCAGGTTGCCATCTGTATGTGCTCTCGCTGTAGGACCTGCTGGACAGAGCTTGAGGCTAGCTAGCCATGTGATCACAAAGGGGATGATGGAAGGATGAGTTCTGGATTGCAAGGGAACTGGCTTCTCTTCCTGGGATAGAGCTGCACCAGCTGGCCTGGTTGTAGGGAACCTGCTGAATGGGTTGGGATGTATTTGAAGAGGAGGGAACAGAGGTGAGGGTTGTTAAGTTCAAGAAGCTGAGCAATACATGGTCTCTGTATCCTGACCCAGCTCCTTCAGAGCCTCTGTGCAGCTCCATGGCTCCCCCTGGACTCATGAGAAGGAATAGCAGCTGGACAAGGATAGGGAGGTGATGGCTTATGGTGTTTAGAAGGAGAGGGAAACTTCGGGTATGTCCTACATGGGGGAGCTGTGTGGCAGTTCTGAAGATGAAGGGAAGACTGATCAGGCCAAGGGTGGGATTCTGGAAGTCAAAGCCACACTCAGAAGCACTGCTTTGTCTTGTTCTGGGTAATAGAAGTCCATGGGTTATAAACAGTGTTTTTGTCATCTGTCTGTCTGTCTGTAAAGTGAGGTGACTGTGTAAGAGGCACAGGTAAGATTTCTGTGCCACACACAAAATGTCATGGATAAATTGTGTGGTGGCTTTTGGCTGTGGAGACAAGGCAGAGCTTCATTGTTTCTCTGTGGCTTCTAAAGGGTCTTGGCTGAGTGTTTCTGAACTTGTTCTCTGGCATATATTTTTACATACACTGTGGATTTACCCCCATGCTCTTCATAAGCTTTTTACATCTCTTTTGGACTTGCGCTAAGAGTCATGCACAAGTTTCACTTTTAACACAAAGAATTGTGTTGGCCTTCTCAGCTCTGAAAACATTAGACCATTTAGGGGCCAGGTTCTGTAAAGGGGCAGGGTTTTGTTTATAACTTGCAGTGGGGACAGCTTGTGAAGGATGATCTTAATAATGAGGATTCAGCCTCATGAATTATAGTGAAATTCTAATGGCATGGAGCCTGGGTCATGCAATCAGTACATCCCTCCCACCCTACAGGAATTATCAACTCTGAAATTGGTGTCTTAAAGTCTTCTGGAATGAAATCCAGATATGTTGCAGTCAGCTGTAGCTGTGGCATGGTTCACTTTACACCTCCAAAGCACAAGGTCTTCTTTTTGTCTTCTGAGCTTACAAAAATCCCTGGTGGGATTCTGTGTGTCCTGAAATACTGACAGAGGAGCTGTACCAGTTGCAATAGCCAAGGCCCCTCCCAAGCGGTTCTACTACCAGCAGTATGATAACCCATCATTTAAGTGAATGTGCTCATCATCCTTCCCTCCAGTGTCCCGAAGAAAAGCATATTCCTCCTTAGAAAGAAAAGTGGTGATGAAATGGATATTTTTAAATGTCAGTTATGCCAGAATGAATGTCTGCTTGGAGAGCTGCAAAGAGAAGCAGAGGCTTGGCTTTATATCTTTTCCCATTGCAAATGGAGTTATTTTATAATCTCAGGATACTAATGCCTATGATGAACCTGGTGTCTTGTAGTAGAATAACTTTATAAATGTGCTCCCACTTTCAGTAAAAGTTTGAGATCCTCTTCTATCTTTTTCCTAGAACAATCATCTCGTGATCCTTTTTATTTTGTGTATGTATATTTGACCTTTACTTATAAAATGTATTGAAAGTAAGATCCTAAACTCAGTGGTTATTTTGCAGGATCACTGAGGAGTGAACTGTATTTACATTATGGAGGGCTCAGAGCATATGGAATGAGGTGTTATTGCAATCATGAGGATGGTTGGCTGGTAGAACCACAGCTGTCTCAGCCCCATTGACATAGCAGACATGTGTCAATGCTGGGTAAAACCCTGCCAACTATGTTTGAAAACAAACAAACAAACAAACAAACAAACAAAAATCCAAACACAGAGCCAGAAAACCAAAAGAAGATGGCATTAGGCTGGGGCTGTGTATTCCTGATGGGATGCTGCCATGGTTGAGACTGTGGTATTTGTGTGGAGAGAGACAGAGGAATAAGAGACACATGGAGAGACTCTGGGGTAATACATCCATCATATGTGTAGGAACCTGAGACAGGTTAGAGCTTTGTTATAGTCCCAGTAGAAATGGTTCCACTAGGTACTTTTCCTGTTGTTATGGTAAGATACCTGTCTTAGCTGCTTTTCCATCACTATGATAAAACACCAGGACCAAGGCAACTTGTAAATACAGTATTTAATTTGGATCACAGTTTCAGATGGTTAGACTGGGTGGAGAAGGGGCAGCTGAAAGCTCTTGATCACAGGCACAAGACAGAGAGGTAACCAGATCCAAGGAATGACCTGAGCTTTTGAAACTTCAAGGCCCACTCCCAGTGACATACCTCCTCCAACAAAGTCACATTTCCTAGGCTTTCCCAAATAGTACTACCAACTATGGATCCAGTATTCAAACATACGAGACTACAAGGGCCGTTCTCATTCAATCCACCACAATACCTAAGATAAAAGCAACTTAAAGGAGGAAGCATTCATCTAAACTCAGGGTTTCAGAGGACAGGTTTCTGTCCATCGTGGTGGGGGAGGTGTGGGAAGGCATGCAAGTTCAATTCCTATTACTGTGTTTGTGGAACAGAGAAAGTACCAGAAGCATCAATTTAACCTTCAGAGACCTGTCTTTAGTGATGTACTAGTCTTCCAACTAGACCTCAAACTCCTAAAGTGTCCACCACTATCCAAAATAGTGACTATTTTCAAGCATTGGACACATGAACTAGTGGGAGATGTTTCATATTTCAACCACAGCATGCAGGGCAACTAATTGGTTATGTAGCAAGTGATAAGGCAAGATTGTACCTTATAGCTTACATAAGTGAATGTTTGTGGAGTGGCATTTTCTTCTCTCTCTCTCTCTCTAAAAATAATAATTACATGTAAATAAACATTTTAAAGAGAACCAAGGGGGAAAAAATAACAGAGTTGAAAAATGGGCAAATAGCATGAAAAAAAACTAAACGGCTTATAGAGTAATGAACACTTCCCAACTTCAATTGGGGAATTGCCAGGTTAGATAATGAGATACCATTTCACATCTATATTTTGGTAGATTAAGATAAACCAAGGATATGATGAGCAAGGGGGGTTTTCATGCCTTACTTATTGAGAGCAGATTGGTTAAAAGCCCCTTCAGAGAGTAACTACACAGTTTACAAAAGAACAAAATGTGGAACTCTGTGCTCCAACCATTTCACTCTTAGGTGTATATGTGTCAGAGTTTTCCAGATGACCAGAAGCCATGGGATCAATCTCAGGGCCTGTCAATATATTAATCTATCATTAGTGTGCCTTAGGATTTACAATTGAAGGGTTTATTGCATTACAGGTATTGGCTTGTATGTAGCAAGATTCTGTGATCTGTCTTCACTAACCGGAGAGTCAGCAGAGCCCATTGGCACACATTCCCAGGAGCTAGGCATTGAGTGCAGCTTCCTGCCCAGGCCAGCAGCCTCATAGCTAGAAGGCAGGATACAGATGTCCTGGCTGGAGAAGTCAGACAGAGAGTATATTCTGTCACCTGGATTGTAGGAGGTCCCCAACCCTGGGAAAACCATCTGCTTTACCCAGCCCACCAGTTGAAATGCACATGCACACCTTCCCTAAACACCCTAAGAGAGGTAGCCAGGATGTGCCAAGGCTAGCCAGGTGTGGCCCAGTCAATCTGACACATAGAAATAACCATAGGTCACAGTGAACATTATTAAAAATAATTTAAAACAAAAAAGAAGATACCAGGGCCCATTCTATGTGGGAGAGAATGTCTTTATCAGTGTTATGTGACTAATGGTTTGGGAAGTAGAGAAAAACGTGAGTAACAGTGGTTAAGCCTGAATGGTGTGTGTTCATGGGTCTCTGCCTCATAGTTCCTTACCTTTGTGCTGTTTATCTCAAAGCACTGATGGAAGAAGAGATTGGGCTAGGACTGGGAAGATAGCAACTGCTAAAGTGCTTGCCTTGCAAACAGGAGGGCAGGAATTTGACTCCCAGGAGTTCCACTCAAAAAGCTGGGTGTGGTGGCATACGCTTTTAATTAATGGCAGCACTGGGGAGGCGTGGGCAAGTTTTCAGATAGCCTGGTGAGCACTAGCCTGTGAGAAACTTTGTACCCAAAACAAAATAGGGGGGCTGGAAGATGGCTC